GTGTGTGGGTGGGTGGGTGGGTGGGTGGGTGTGGGTTTGTGTAAAGATTTGGTCTCCTATGTACCTCTAGAATCTGTAGGACAAAAAGCTGACCCCCTGAAGGCACACATAAGACATACACCAGAGATTTATCTGGTCATGCGAAGAAGGTAATATTTAACAACAAAAAGATAGCCATGCATTTAAGAGCATTTGCAATTAAACACACACAAACACAAATCAATGAAAAATGCAGGTTTTTCTGTAGAGTTACTATAAGCCGATTCCAACAGAACAGATCATAAGCTAAGATACCTTCACCACTGCTGACATTGAAAAGATTTTATTTAATGGGTCTTAAGTACGTAATAATTACTGCATTGGCCTTTTGTTCATAACGCCCAAAGGACGCCACAGAACAATTGGTTGTCCAAAATCAGTCGGCCTGTTTTGATGCATAAACCTTTGTCTTTACATCCTGAGACTCCCTCACGCCTTCCATATGTTCAGGGTTTTCCTTCCTTCCTTCCTCCTTCCTTCCTTCCTTCCTTCCTTCCTTCCTTCCTTCCTTCCTTCCTTTTCTTTTCTTTTCTTTTCTTTTCTTTTCTTTTCTTTTCTTTTCTTTTCTTTTCTTTTCTTTTCTTTTCTTTTCTTTTCTTTTCTTTTCTTTTCTTTTCTTTTCTTTTCTTTTCTTTTCTTTTCTTTTCTTTTCTTTTCTTTTCTTTTCTTTTCTTTTCTTTTCTTTTCTTTTCTTTTCTTTTCTTTTCTTTTCTTTTCTTTTCTTTTCTTTTCTTTTCTTTTCTTTTCTTTTCTTTTTTCTTTTTTAGCATCACGACTAGAGGTCTACTGACTTGACAAGGGAGACAAGCAGGAAATATAAACAGAATTAATAGAATCATAGAATAAGAAAGTTGCAAGGGGGCCTATAAGGCCATCGAGTCCACCCCGCTGCTCAATGCAAGAATCCAGATCAAAGGAGATCTGCCAGGTGATTGTCTGATTTTCTCTTGAATCCCTCCAGTGTTGGAGCATTCACCACCTCTCGAGGTAGCTGGTTCCACTGTTGTACTGCTCTAACACGACGTTTTTCATGATATCCAATCGAAATCTGGCTTCCTGTCCCTTGAGCCCATCGTTGCATGTCCTGGACTTTAGGGTGATTGAGCACAAGTACAAAAATATTTCAAATTTGCACCACGGATTTGTATTGAAGCACTTTGAACTTTTCCCCACAACCTTTCCTAATTTTTCCCCAATGGTTTAAATACAGCTATGTTTAAATGCAAGCATCCTCTCTTTTCTTTTCTACTGGCAGGACAGAGTGTCAGGAAAAGAAAATCAGGTCCAGTGGAGTCCGCCGGCTGCAGCAGGCAGCACACACAGAAGGAGCTTCAAGCAGACCCACATGGACCTTTGATGAATTGATCATACCCACATCTGCTCACCTCTGGAATTGTTCAGACGGTTCCCTCCAATTCGGTCTAGAGGAATTCCAAACCGCCTCTTCGGCAGGTCCACCACTTTCCTGCAGATCGAGAAGAACCCGTGGAGATACCAGCTGGAGTTTTTACAACCTCACATTCCGTCTATGGTCAGTGTGGCCAGGAGGGACTCTTTTTTTGTTGGGGTGAATGTCAATCTATTCAGCACAAACCAATCATTTCCACCTGCCTCTGAATTCAAAGAGAGGTCCCTCTCTCTGCTCTGTGCTCCCCCCCCCGCTCCTCGGAAGCAATCTGTTTATTTTGTTTGCTGTTGATCTGTTTACAACTGTAAGTAATGAAACATTTTTATTCTTTCTCTTACAAATTTCTCAGAGTGAGTTATTGAGACTCTAAGTGCCAGATAATGAGAAGGGGATGGACTATCTGGAAACTTTTAACTATCCTCCTCTTTCTCTCTGTTCTGTGCTCCCGCCCCCCGCTCCTCAGTCTGTTGGAAACAATCTGTTTATTTTATTTGCTGTTGATCTGTTTACAACTGTAAGTAATGAAACATTTTTATTCTTTCTCTTACAAATTTCTCAGAGTGAGTTATTGAGACTCTAAGTGCCAGATAATGAGAAGGGGATGGACTATCTGGAAATTTTTAACTATCCTCCTCTGAGAGTCTCTCTCCTTCTACTTTGTAGCTTTAAAAAAAAGGATTTTAACCAGACATTCAAAACTCTGCAAAATGTATCACTCAGCAGCATACATTTTGAGCAAGGAGACAAAAGAAAACCTGTCTCAGAATCTGCATTCCCCCTTGTATACCCAGTCTGCTGCACTTGCAATTTCTTGGTTTCATTGGCTGGAAGAAGCTGAGCACTGAGCTTGCCTATGGTAAAAAGCAACAGAGCATGAGGAGCAAGGCCGCCAGCCCGGCCCTTTTGCAGGGGGCGTCCTCCCTCTAGTGGCCACTTCAGGCTACAGCTGCGGTCATCCCTTTGCCGTGCTGGCCACGGCCAGGTCTCTAACCTGTTATTCCAATTAAGCCAGTCTCGGTGCCTGTGGTGTTCTGACACTTAGAGTTTGAACCAGTGGTTCTTCTCTCTCGGGGCTTGGCCAAGACCCTCCAGGGAGTCTCCTGGTGATGCAGCAGGGGACCTGGATGCTCTACCTGCAGTCACGGCATCCCGCGGGACCTCTTTGCCCCCACAGGGTGCGATCTCTAGGCCAGCAGCGCCAAGGATATCCAGACGCTTTTGAAACACAGAAGGACCACACGGCACACATCACCCACCTCTGCTTGGTCTTCAGATCCACAGAACCAGCAGACAGCCGGTCGAGAGGGGAGCCGAAGCCAGAGAAGCTGCGCTTCTTCTTGGTTTCGCCGACATCGTTTTCGAGGGACACCAGCTCATCCAAAAGCAGGAGCTTGCTCGCTAGATCCATGGCTGACTTCTCATTGTGGGAGGGGGAAGGAGGGACCATGCCCTGGGCCAGAGACCGGCCAAAGGGCAGCTGCTGCTGCTGCTGCTGCTGCTGCTGGAAAGGAAAAACCAAGATAGTCGGAGGAAGCTAGGTAAAGGCAAAGGTTCCCCTGGACAATTTGTCCCGCCGTGTCCGACTCTAGGGCGCGGTCCTCATCCCCATTTTCAGCCCAAAGACAATCTTCTAGGCTAAGTTCACAGGAGCTGGGACAAGCGACGGGAACTCCCTCCGTCACGTGGATTCGATCTTACGACAGCGGGTCTTCTGACCTTGCAGCACAGAGGCTTCTGCGTTTTAACCCGCAGCGCCACCACGTCCCTTTGGCGCCGTGTCCGGCTCTAGGGCGCGGTCCCCATCCCCATTTTCAGCCCAAAGACAATCTTCTAGGCTAAGTTCACAGGAGCTGGGACAAGCGACGGGAACTCCCTCCGTCACGTGGATTCGATCTTACGACAGCGGGTCTTCTGACCTTGCAGCACAGAGGCTTCTGCGTTTTAACCCGCAGCGCCACCACGTCCCTTTGGCTTCCCCTTTGTGTCTAGTCGCGACATTTAGGGGTGGGGGCCAGGGAGGGCTCGCCACTTACCTCCTGCAACGCCTCTGCCTGGAGGGCCATCTCAGATGGCCACTGGAACAGGGTGATGGCCAGCACCAAGTACCCGGCGGCTCTCTGGCTCGGCAACATCTGGGAAGGAAAGCGTCACACACTTCTTAGGGTGAAGGCCAGGAACCCACATGGAAGAGAGACAGTCATTAGGGCTGGACGCGTGTTGAAGTTCGAGAAGGATGCATCTTGTTTGAGCGGCCACCTTGTCCAAGTCTAACTTACAGGCACAGAGCCATTGGGGGGTGGGGAGGAAAGACTTGAGGGGGGGGCACGAAGTCACCCATGATCCTCAGTGAGTAGCACCTGGAGAGCAGATCCCGCAGCAGGTGTCCCGGAGGTCACTTGCTCACCTCTGTCCTTCCCACTCGTGTCAGAGATATTGCTCTATTTTGCCTGGATTCCTGAATTCAATTGTGTGCCTGTAGGTGCACATCAGCCTAGGTAGGCCAGTATCTCCTCTTTTTTAGCAACCTGCAAAGGGCCCCTGTACTGACCAATGGCCAATGGCACTCCCACAAGATCTGGGAATCCAAGCGGGGACCCCACGGCCCTCGATGTTTAGACTCATGGTTTGGCTAAGAAGAGACGGCTACCTTCAGCGTGAGACGGAGGTGTCCAGGTGCCATTTCTTGACCTCTCCTTTCCCTGCAGACACACACCACCTGGCTCCAGAAGGCTTGGCCGGGCCAAGATGGCATAAAATAGGGAGGGGAAGGTGAGCCTTCCCAAGACCAGGCCAGAGTGGATGCCCTTCTCAGCCTATGAAGCCAGAAAGCCAAATGAAAAGGAGCTTCCGTTTCCACAGGAGAGATGCAGTGGGGCAAAGAACAGAACATCACACAGCGGGAGAGGGATTTCTTTAATACCCTCAAATTGTTGCCATTCATCCTAGTCCCGCCCCATTGATCCAGACATAGCTATTGGAGGGTGCCATATTGCTGACATGTTCTAGAGCAATGGTTCCCAACCTTGGGTCCCCAGATGTTCTTGGACTAATATCTTCAATCCATCCATCCATCAATCCATCTGTTTCCCAGAAGGTTTCACCACCAGCTGTGCTGGCCAGGAAGTTGCTGTTCAGGGACATCCATGGACCCAAGGCTGGAAACCACCAATCTATAATGTTCTTCCTTGTTCTCTTCGATAGCTACACTGAGTCTTCACAGCCCTTTTAACGGCCCTATGTGGGATGAGCAATGGGGTCTTTTGTGGGGGCTTTGATTGGTCAGGCTAGATTATCTTTTTCTTGCTCCACTACCTTGGGGAAAAAAAACCAAATGCACAGTTACAAGTGGGGGAGAGGGAGATACCTGGCTCAGCAATACTATCAGTGAAAAGGATCTTGATCACAAGCTGAATTTGAGCCAACAATGCAATGTGGCTGCAAAAAAGGCCAATGCTATTTTAGGATGCATTAACAGAAGTATAGTCACCAAATCCTGTGAGGTGCTGGTCCCCCTCTATTCCGCATTGGTCAGGCCTCACCTTGAGTCCTGTGTCCAGTTCTGGACACTTCACTTCACTCCCAGTCCTCTTCTCTCCAGACTAAGCATACCGTGACCTACCTAACGTCTCCCCTGGGCCTTGACATCTTTCTGGGCAACAATGATGATCAGGGGAATGGAAAGCAAGCTTTGTGAGAAAAGGCTGCAATAAATGGGTATGTTTAGCCTTGAGAAGAGAAGATAGAAGAACACTTTTCAAATACTTAAAAGGCTGTCCTAGAGACGAAGGGCAGGATCTGTTCTCCATCATCCCAGGGTGCAGGTCACGCAACCATGGGCTCAAGTCAAGGGAAGCCAGATTTTGGTTAAATATCAGGAAAAAAAACTCCTAACTGTACAGCGATGGAATCGATGACCTCGGGAGATGGTGAGGGCTTCAACATTGAAGACCTTCAAGGGAAATCTAGACAGCCACCTGGCAGATCTCCTTGGATTTGGATTCCTGTATCAGGCAGGGGGGTTGGACTTGAGGGCCTCAGAGGCCCCTTCCAATGTCACGATTCCATGATGCCATGACTCATTTTCTGCTTTCTTTCCTTTCTCAGGCCTGGTGCTGGGTGATGCAGGATAGATTCATGGGAGAGGGGGAGCTGGGCACAGAGGAGAATGTACACCTTTGGGATGGAGGGGGGGAGAGAGACGGATGGAGATGAATGAAAGAATCTCTTGTAGGAGCCTTGCAGATAAACAGAAGGACCACCGTATTCCCCAAGTTGATGGTGCAGCGTAGCAGCCTCCACCCATTCAAGATCTGTCTTGCCAGGCCTCCTCCTTGCTTTGCATGCCTTGTAAAAAGGGTTGCGATCCAGAAGCAGAATTGGGCCAGGGGCTGCCACTGGCGGCCCCTCTATCAGTTTTCCCCTTCCCTTTCTAGAGGGGCATCCAGTCCTGCTCAGGTTCCACACCATCCCTTGCGGGATCAAAACCAGACCAATAGACATGTAGTGACCCTATTACATGTAGTGACAGAAGGGACCCCCAAGAGCCATCCTGCACTCCCCTCTGCCCATGCAGGGAAGTCACGGCAGAAGCATCCATGACAGAGGGTCCTCCCATCCCTTCCCTCCAACACAGGCATGTCTGTGTTGCCCTGCACAGCTGAACAGCATTTAGCAGCAGGAAGTTCTTCCAAACATGTAGTCAAAAATTCCTTTCTGGTCATTTGAAACCATTCCTTTGGCTGCCCAGCCTTCTCGTGCAGCAAAGAACAAGGCTCTCTGTGCCTTCCACTGGAGAGCCCTTCTGAGATCCAACGATGGCTATCGTTTCTGCTCTCACTCCTCTTCTCTCCAGACTAAGCATACCGGGACCTACTTAACGTCTCCCCTGGGCCTTGACATCTTTCTTATCTTCCTCATGACAGCCTCCAGCTTGTCAATATCCTTCTTAAACTGTGGTGCCCAGGATGATACCTGAGTGCTGCCCAAACTAAGGCAAAATGGAGCGGTACTTCTTCTTGCGTCGATCATCGCCTGAGATTTCTGTGCAGACATCTTATTATTGTGTTCTCCCTCCCCATGGCCCCTGCATCACACTGTGGACTCTTATGTTTGGAACCCTCGCAGGGAAGAAAGCAGAGAAAAGATTGGACTGAATGGAGCAAAAGGAGGGGGGGTTCCCAGTCCTGGAGGAGGCCCTCTTGCACAAGCCAAGAACCAGCCCTCGCCCCCCCCCACCCCGTTTCCACCTCTCCCCAAAAGGCCTTCTGCTTTCCTTGTCAGCCTGTTCCAAAGTGGGAAGGCATCGTTTATCGCTCTGCGAAGAACCACATCCTGATTATCTGGATATGGAGGTGGGGATGTAAAAATAAACAGCAAAGTTAAACACACACATTTTTTTCATCGCAAAACATCTGTGCGGCTGTTCATTCATTCCCAGCGAGCTAAAAATAAGTGCCTGTACGCTAATCAAAATAAACACAGTGGGATCTGCCGCACAAAAGGCAACTCAGGCAAAATTAGAACCGGAGGAAGCTGTCGAGGCAAAGGGCCCGGCCGTGCTCGGAGGCTGCGAGAGGCCTTCCGTCCAGACCCATAAATAGACGGCCTGCACTTGCTACGCCTCTCCCCAGTGATGGGGGAGAGCCGAGTCGTTCATCTCCAGCTGCTCCTGCTTCCAGATCCCATTCTGCTTCCCTTTTTTACTTGGATTAGGTCAAAAATACAAGGCTGCTTTTAGAGATCATCCCACAGCTTCGGCTACAGCAGCGGCCCCATGGTTGCCTCGCAGCCAGAAAGGCGGCAGCACTAGGGCAGCAGTCCGTGTGCTGATAAGAAATCTCCTCCTTGCACCTTCTAGGATGCAGATGGGCCCTTTTGCCCACGATTTGGCCTTCTGGAGATGCTTTAGTTTGGAAGGAGGTTTTTCTTTCCAAATGGAGGAAATCACTCCCGTAGGACAGCTGAAGAGCAGTCGCCCGCAGCGGGATGAAATGGCTCCCTGCAGCCACTAGAGGGTGCAAGAAGGCTTTCAAAGGGGAGTAAGGGGTCCAGGAGGGGTTGCAGCCCCCCCCCAGTTTCTCGGGATGGGACCTCTCCAGGGTGTGTGCGTGTGTTTGCCCAATCCATCCTTGCCGCCGAGATGTCCAAACCAGCTCTGAGTTGAGCCATGAGCATTTTGGCTTGCCTGTTTGGTGTTGCATGGGGGACACCCACAAATCCGTGGCATTTCGGTCTGTCGAAACAGTCAGCAGGGTGTGACCATTTCAGCAACAGAAATTTTTAGCAAGATATTAGCTCAGGAGAGGACGAGAAACTATACGGTTAATATGTTTTGAGCATCCCTGGATTTCTTTATTTAGGTACGAAAGACGAAATTTTAACAAGATATTAGCTCAGGAGAGGATGAGAAACTATATGGTTAATATGTTTTGAGTATCCCTGAATTTCCCTGGATTTCTTTATTTAGGTACGAGATGGCTGAATTTTGATAATTTTCCAAAATTCAGTCTCTGTGGGTTTGCTAACAGGCTCACTAAAAAAGAGGAAAAGGGCAACTTAGAAGTTCACAAATGTATTCGGCGATGATTCTCCATGACTATCGACCAACTCATGAGATCCATGGAGCGCTGTCCGAAATTATAGGACTTTATGAAGGAGTGAGCAACACCCCGTGTGGTGTAGTGGACAGAAGAATGGACTAGGATTCAGGAGGCCTGGGTTCGAATCACTGCTTAGCCATAGAAACCCACTGGGGAAATGGAACTGTCAACCCCTTAAATACCTCATTTACCTTGAAAGCCCTGCTAGGTTTGCTAGAAGTCAGTTTCAACTTCATGGCACACCATCATGAAGGAGTGGACAATTCCTTCCCCGTAAACGTTGAAGGGCCCCTCACTTTCACCCACTTTGATCCTGAAGTCGGTGCGATAGCAGCAGACAGTCTAAAAAGCTTATGTCCCATATAGGTGCTTTCTCTCAACCAGAAACATGTGCTTTGGGAACAACACAACGGGCTACTCTATGCTTTGGAGGGTGAAAATATAGCAGTACAGTACAATATTTGCAGAGGACCTTCCAGAGAGCTGCTTTCCTTTGAGAGAAGCCTTTGTCCAATATCATGGAAGATAAGGAC